TATATTAAAATTAATTTACTTTATTTGTTGTAGTATTCTCTCTCTCTCTCTCTCTCTCTCTCTCTCTCTCTCTCTCTCTGTTCATTTTTAAAAGAAAAGTATTATTAAGAGAAAAAAAAAAAATGTTACGTACTTCTTTGCCATTTCCAGATTTTTTCGAGCAAGATATTAGCGACGCAGGCCCTGCAGATTTGTACTTTCAGGAACCGTCCGAACTGATCAACGTGTTCAAATCGATAGAAACGCAAAATTTGAACGCGTTGATCCACTTGGAGAGTCTGGCAGAGCCGATAGCTCAACTGCTGTTGACGATTCAAAACGCTGAACAACAGATCAAGATAGAAGTTGGAGAAATAACCAGTATAATCAACGAGTTGCGCGTAATGATATATAATCGTTTAAAAATATGTAGATTAATAGATCAAAAGCATGGTGAAATGTATACTTACGTACGTATGTTATTAGGAAAGCATTCACGTGTTGGAAAGCAGAGCCATAGATCTGGAAAAGCACGCGAACGAGCTTTTGGAAACCGTGTTCCGGGATTCCGTTTGTTCGGAGGAGGTGCTTCGTCTTCAGGTGTTCGTCGAGGACGCGTACGAGAGTTGCGTGGGGCCAAACGAGGCGAATCTAGATAGTTTCTCGATGATGAAGTGGATCGAGAAGATACACGACGAGCTGAATTTGAAGCTGGATACTTTACCACCGGAAGTGGTCAAGGCTTGCGAGAAGGAGGGCTTCAAGCAGGAGTTGAAGGTCATGAAACAGACGGAGGAAGCTGCTAAGAAGGTTCTCCTTATAATCTTATTATTTGTTTACTCGGTTCGCATACCTGGCTGGTATCCCGGAAAATGTTTCTCTCCTTTTTTCTCTCTTATTGCGAACAATCGTTGAAAGAATCGTTGACAAAACGATGCTATCTCACTTTATCCGTTACAGTTCGAGCTTATGCAACGATTGCTGGTCTCTCTGAAACGCATAATGGAACCACCTCCGGAAAAGAGGAGGCCTCTGATGTGGCGATCGACCCCGAAAATGTATAGATTGAAAGGAGTGGCAGAGGCGCTCGAGCCAACCGAGGAGGAATTGCAATATTTGACTTTCTTCACCGATTATTGCAAAACGGAGGACTTCACCAAATACCGCCCCCGATTCCCGGACGATTTTGATCTGACGTTCAAGAAACAAGATATTGTGGTGGTCGAAGCGGAAGAGGACGAGGACGTTTTGATAAAAAAATTGAATGAATTTTTCATTTTCAACCAAAATAAAATATCAATCGTGGAATATTATATACAGAGATTGCGCGTTATTCACGAATAATTAATTAATTGGAAATAAGAAAATTTCAATCTATAAGTATATACGAGATTACGAATTGATAGACGAAAGAAGATGCGTAAAGCAACCGATTCACCAGCTAGGATTCAACGTTGCGGATAATCGAAACAAATTATCGTTTTATCCGATCCTTCAATTATCCCTGATTTTCCACGATTTCGATATTATTCCCGCAGACGAACTTGTGAATAATTCACGACCCTTTCCCAATCGAAAATCTTCCCCGTCCAATTAAGTAATTGAATTAAACGGGGAACGAAAGATAACTTCCGCCTGTTTCTTCTCTTTAATTGAAACACTTACGTAGCGCGAAACATCGATCAAACGCATCGAGGACGCCTCGCACCGTTGAAGAAAGAATTCGAAAACGTCTGATGCATTTCCTCCCCCCTCTCTCCCCCTCCTTTTTCCCATCTTTAAGGGTCAGCGCAGACAACTCTTCCGTTTTTCGGAAACCACACGTCGCACGGTGTTTCAATCCATGCATCCATCATCATCACGTTGAAAGAATGCTCAAAGGATCGAAGATGAAAATTTTAAAAGCGACGAGAATAAATTACAGATACTCGGATTTTCAAACTTTGGATTTGATCTTAATCTTTTGGTTAATATTTTACACTAATTGTTCATTGGTGAATTTTTAAGATCCTTTATCCATTTCGACATTAAGTTCGTGTAATTCTTCTTCCAATTAGAGTAAATATAATTCGAGATAGTCTCGAGTGCATCGAATCACGGCCAATCAAAGAAGAAAGAGCGTGCAATGGAATTAAGGGAATCAGAAAAAATTCGGTAATTGAAGAGGGATCGAATATAAGAAAGGAGAAGAAGAAGAAGAAGAAGAAGAAGAAGAAGAAGAAGCTTTTGAAATTCTTATGCGACGAAAAAGCACCGTCTTTCACAACTCTGGATTACTTTCGCGGAGTGGTTTGCCCACGAAGAATGCTCGTAAGAGTTTCTCCTTTGCATCCCCGTTTCCCAAAGGATCTTGAGCAAGAACAATCCCTTGGCTTGTGGATGAAAAAAAGACGCGCGTGCACGAATCGAAGGGAAAAAAATATAAAAATCGGCGGAAATGGGGAGAAGGAAATGATCTCTGGGATGGCATGATAAAAGGTATAAAAGGGGAGGTTAAAAAATTTATACCAAGTTTCTCTTTATGGAAAATCGATACTTGTAGCAAGCAACTGTTAAGCTAACTGATCATTACCAATTCGCATGCAGTGGATCGTATTTTCTCGAGGGAAAAATTGTCAGATCATCGTTTTCTGGAAACGATATACACGAAACAACGAGGCGGTGGTAAGAAAATTCGGAGGAAGGAAAAGATCGATACGAAGGTTTGAAGTCGGGGTGAGAAACGGAGAAGTGGAGTAAATGAGAATTTTTAGATTGGCCTTGACAAGTTGTCTGCACGCTGTCATCTCGACGCGAAACAGTCACAAAGGGAGAATAGGGAGGAAGGTGAGGGTGGGCTCGAACAACTCGAGTACCACGTGTCTGCCATTAATTCCACTTGCAGGGCAAAGGTGGCGAGGGCCGAGAGTTAGTTGTTAGATATCGCTACGTATGATCCTCCGAGTGATCTCTCCTTCAATTCTCTCACCAAGTGGCGAGAGTTACTCGACGACTCGTGGGTAACAACAGTTTCGTCGTGCTCGAGATCGAAAGAGCGAGAAATTTTGCCCTTTAAAAGTTAACCAACGAATTCTGAATCGAAATTTCGAAAGAATTTCGAAAGAATTCCGAACAAACAGCTTCCTTGACAGTTTTGGCTTGACCTGTGGAAAAATTGGAAAAAAAAAAAAACGAATAAAAGGAAGAGAGAAAAAAGTCTTTTTTCTCCTTTTTCTTTGTCGACCAAAGCATCAGCTGATGGCGAGATTTTCGAAAGAATGGCCGAATGTTCGGTGAAAATCAGCGAGGGTAAGGGCGGATTTTGCGTACTCGGAGGAGGCCTTTCGAGATTATCCCCATAGCAACGGGAATTGCTCGATAGCAGACTGGCTAGGGGGCTCTTGAACCAAACTAACCCCTCTCTCTCTCTCTCTCTTCCCTCTCTTTCCTCTCTTT